GACTTCAGGTCACTAACCTGCAAATCAGAATGAAGCGGAGGGAATGGCATCAGTTCAATTTGTAGGTTCCCTTGGCAGACTCGCTGGGTTTTCTATTTAAGACAACACCTGTAATCGGATGGTTTACCTGTCCCGTTTAATCTGCCCCTCAGCCTCTTCAGAAACCCAAGACAAGGTTGCTATGGGTCAGAACTGACTCGATGGCACTTAACAATAGCCTCTTGAGTGGGCTCCCATTTGAATGCCAAGGGCTAACTTGATTTTTTTTTTTTTTTTAAAACACCCAGGCATACAGTAGAGTATTAGAGTAGCCATAGAAATAATAATAATAAAGCATGTAATGAGAAGATTTTGAGTTTATCATGATCCATGACTCCGTAATCCGCCGACGCCGCATACGCTTTCGGAAAAACCCTGGAATAAGTCTGCTGGGGCTGGCTCCCGGCAAAAATGAAACAGTACATCGATAAGAATCGCAGTGTGTGACAGGTTATTTCAAAATCAATTCTGCAGAATGACAACAGGAAATCAAGACTGAGGTTAAAAGCTATCATTGTCAAAATTAACACGGCCAAGTTTATAAAAGGCCAGAAGCACTGACAGGAAAGGGCAAGAAACAAATGGGAGCTGAGACGGGCATAATGAAGCGGATGTCTGCTACTTGTTTTATCGTATTCCTCTGAAGAGTAGAAAGGAAAAAGAAGATATATACTTCCTTTAACTTTCAGAGCAAACATACTGGGATTATAATGTAGTTATTACAATGTTCTTGTATACCGTTCATTAAAGTTACCTGGGCAGTTGAATTCCTTAACTGTTTTGTAAGGTCTTCTATCTGACGCTCAAAATTACTGGCCCGGTCTTTTTCCACATCCAACTGCTCTGACTGCTTATCATATTCTAATAAAAGATTCTTCAATAAAAGACAAAAGGGTTTACATTTTAGGATGGCATGCATTCAACTGGTCAAACGGATACCAAACCATCTTGATTTAAGATTTATGAGTCCAGCCTGGATGTTGAAAATATTTGCTCAACTTCAAATGATAATAGAACACCCAAAGGGCATTAAACAACAGATAGACTTTAGGTAAGTTCCAATTTGGGGGTGGGGGTGGGAATCTATTAAAGAGGAAGAGAACTCCATATGTCACAATGTAATGATATTCTCAATACAAATAAGAAGGACAAACTTGTGAAACATAAACACGGAAAGAAGGAGAAGGAAAGTTTAACCTGGGCATCTATTAACTCCACCTAGAGTGTTAAAAGATGAGGCTTTCTGCTCCTGTAAAGATTTACAGCCTCAGAAACCCTGTTCAGGGTCGCTATGGGTCGGAGCTGACTCGACGGCACGTAACAACAACAGTGTTGAGACTCTGGAACAGAAGTCCTGCAAGGGTGGAAATGGAGTCTATTTGGTTGGCTGCCACGTTTCCCGACGCGGTGCTGGAAGATGTGCACTGGATTGCTAACCACGCAGTTGGTGGTTCAAATCTACCAGCCCCTTCTTGGAAACCCTATACAGGGTTGCTATAATCAGAACTGACTTAATGTCCCAGCATCTGTGTAAATATCTGCGAGTGAACAAATGAAGAATGGAATGATACGATCTTGCTGCATTCTATTTCGTTTACAAAGAGTCTCACGTTATCCAGCTAAACAAGCATATTACTCAGGTATAAATGCTTCCATCTTCCCAGCAGGCTTCTTGCTTAAGCTTCAATGATTAGTCACCTGGCCAGAACAATATCAATTAATCAGGACCAGCAATAATGGCTATTCTTTTTGACTTTATTAAGAAATCTCAAAATTTTATTTTAAAGACACAAATAGCTAAAAGAAACCATTTACAGCTGAGCAATTTACATTTTCATACATTTCTATACCTCAATGAGTGCATGTGGGCACTTCCATGTGACTATGTGTGCGTGCACTAAAGAGTCACTAAAATACAAAGGGTTTTATGGGCAAGAGTTCTCCATTTCCAGTAAAGTTCTCAATTTAGACTCTACGGACGTAACCTGTTAATAAGGAAAATATCCACTTCTACCTTGTAGCTTTCGGCTCCTTGAATGAGGTCTCGCATGGAAGTCGACAAGCGGTCCCTCTCTGACCGGACAGCATCCAGCTCGTCCCTCAGAGTCTGGGCCTGTAGGAAACACACACACAAGGTTCCAAGTTCTCCACAGACAGAGAAGCTGCCATCCTAAAATGCCAGAGTCTCAATCTGTGGTCGCTTAGTCAGCTCACCTCTTTCCGGTTTGATTCAAGTTCTTTCTTTGTCTTCACAGCAACCAGCTTTATTTTATTTATTTTCTCCTCTTTTTCTTTGGATTCTTTCTCCAGAGTTTCTAAAAATGGGAAGAAAAAAAGGGATTACATGTATATTAAAAACCAAATATTCTACATATTTCCTGATTTGTTGTTGTTGTTAAGTGCCATTGAGTCGGTTTCGACCCATAGTGACCCTGTATAGGGTTTCCAAGGAGCAGGTGGTGAGCTTGAACCACCGACCTTGCAGTTCAAACGGCTTTGCAGTCTGGCGCATTAACCCACAGCGCCACACCATTACAACCCTGAAAATGGATACTTTTCTGGAACACAAAGTCTGCAGGCTGGAATTAAAAGTAACACAACTATCAGCATAAAACATTTTCAAATTTAAAAAAAAGTGAGTTTAGTCATTAACTAAGTGACACAAATACAATGCAAACTTTCTTCATTTTTTTCCATCTTACAAAATACTCCATTTTTGTTATTTTTTTTAAAAGCCATTTCTTAAGTGCCCAGAACCAGGAAAGGGTGTTAGAGTTCCAGTTCTGTTAGGTTTCCTGCCAGCGGTGGTGACAGGACTTCAGGTCACTAACCTGCAAATCAGAATGAAGCGGAGGGAATGGCATCAGTTCAATTTGTACGTTCCCTTGGCAGACTCTCGCTGGGTTTTCTATTTAAGACAACACCTGTAATCGGATGGTTTACCTGTCCCGTTTAATCTGCCCCTCAGCCTCTTCAGAAACCCAAGACAAGGTTGCTATGGGTCAGAACTGACTCGATGGCACTTAACAATAGCCTCTTGAGTGGGCTCCCATTTGAATGCCAAGGGCTAACTTGATTTTTGTTTTTTTTTTTAAAACACCCAGGCATACAATTCACTCCACCAAAAGACACATTCTGCAAGCCTGCCTCCTGGCTGCCAGCTCTCAGTCCCTTTCTTTCCATGAGTCTATAGAGTCCTTAGCTGCTCCCTCTCTCCATGTCCTCATCTCTGGTGTTGCTGCTTCTCTGGATAGGGTCCTGCATTCCACTCATGCTCTTCTTCCTTGATGATCCTCAGATCCTCTGTTTCTGGACTATGCTACTCTTACCTCTTTGGCCAAAACACTGACTTCTGTGTGGTTGCTATAAACTTGCTGTCCGTCTGTCTATAACAGAGGCCGACTTCTGTGTGATTACTGTAAACTTGCTGTCCATCTGTAAGAGAGGCTGACTTCTGTGTGGTTGCTCTGTCAGTCTATAACAGAGGCTGACTTCTGTGTGATTGCTGTAAGCTCATTGACTGTAACAGAGGCCGACTTCTGTGTGGTTGCTTTAAGCTAGCTGTCCTGTCTCTAACAAAGGCCAGCTAATCTGTCTCACTCCTGCATTCCATCCCACATTTTCTCACCTACAAAGCTTTCCCTCTTTCTGTATCAATTCTCTCCTACCTAAAAGATGTTCCCCTCAACAGTCAATAAACGTGCAAGAAGACAAAAATGTCAGCAAAAAAGGCCAGAGTAAACAGCTAGAGAAGAAAAGAGATCAAGATAAGACAGATGAAACATTACAAAAGTAGTGCTGTATTTCCCATGAATCACAGTTTCCCTTTAAATATTGTCTATCTTTTATAGAAAACTCCATGAAGAAGCTGTTGGTATATACTTCCGAATTTCTCTCCACGCTTTGATCCACTTTAATCAGACTTCTGACTCCAGCACTTCACTCAAACTGTTCTCGAGGTGACCAGCGACTTCTACCGCTGAACTGATGGCTGGTTCTCAGCACTCATCTTATGTGACTCACGGTAGCATCTGTCAGGTTAAACACATTTTCTGCCTCAAACACTTGAAGCTAATTTATGCTCCTGATTTTCCTGCCTCACCAGCTTATCTTTTCAGTCTCCTTTGTTGTTCCCACCTTCCTGATCCACACACAACAGAGAAAAGTCTCTGTTTTTCCCTACACTGTACTTCCTTGGAGATCTCAATCGCCTACCTTAAATGTCTATTAACTACAGTAAAAAACAACACAACACTCTAGTCGCCCTTCCTTTCATGCTAGATTTGCATATTCAATAAGTTATTTGAGTCTCTGCTTTGACTGGTAATGAATTTTACCAGGGAGCTCCTGAATTCCCATCTCAATTCACCTCTGTAATCACGCTGTCATGCTTCTAAATGGCATTCTTTCAACTGCTTCCACCGAAAACGGTGCCATCATTCTTGTCTCTTGTTTCCTTCATACCCCACATCCGACTCCCTGAAGATACACCTCAATCTGACTTTTCATGGCTTCTACTGCTACGACCTGGAGTCCTGGGGTGGCGCTGTGGGTTAACGTACCAGACAGCGCTCCTTGGAAACCCTATACAGGGTCGCTATGGGTCGTAACTGAATCAACAGCACTTTAACAACAACAAAAACTGCTACTACCTGGGCAAAGCCAGGGCCATCTGTCAAGTACATTCCAATGGGCTGATCTGGCCTCTGCATTCTCTTACAGTGTGTACTTATTTACAGGAGAGTCAGTGAGCCCTAAGCTGCCCTCCGACTGCCTGCAAGCTCATCCAGAGACAAAGTGTAACAACCCGACAAAGGCATGCCGTCCTACAAGGTCTGGGCCCATCACTTCTGGCCTCGCCTCTTAGCACCCTCCCTTCCTTCATTCCATCCCGACACACTGGCCTTTGCTGCTGTAAGAAAGGCATGCTTCTAGTTCAGACTTTGTGTCTTTCTGCTTCAATGACTCACTGAGGCTGTCTGCCTTAGTTCCAGTTGTAACCCTATCTAAAATGGACCACCTGCATCCCAAACCGACAAATTGATACTCCTTATGAAATGGGGTTCTGCGAAAGGTTTTAGCTTATCTAATCTAGAACCATCTTAGAACAGTCTAATGCCCTCCCTAGCGTATTTCATAATCTTCACACCTTTTCAATCACCAAAACTGAATTTGGGACAAAACGAAGGGAGCAACTCATCTCCCAGGAACAAAGGCAAAAGTAGGCAACAGGATGGTTGGCACAACTAGTACACCCAGAGCCGACCCCCCTAACTCCCAGTGTAACTTAGTACTAACGAGAGTGCACACCCGAATTCTCTGAGGAGCTTCCTAATTGGTAGCTGGTCCCCAAGGATTATGACAGGGATGAAGAAATTCTAATGACCACCGCTGGAGAGATGAAGAGTGCCTGTTAGGAGATGACATACCCGGAGGGTCAGATATGCACGGAGATACCCCATGCCCAGGGTCACTGGAAACTCTCCTTCACCCTCCTCCTCAGGCAGGTAGATCTGAGATCCCCCGCTCCCCTTACCTCCTGGGACTCCTCACTCAGTAAACACAGGCCTCTCTCTAGCTCTGAGTACTGGCCGCCTCTACAGCGGGCCACAAACAAGCCTTTCTGGTCCCTCTGCTGAGTTCTCGCTTTTGCATTTACAGCGAATCTACTACGGTTTACCTTTTAATCTGGTTTATCGCTCTATCCTTCCCCACACCTAGATGTCAAAGTTACAGGAAGGCAGGAATTCTGTCTTGCCAGCCACTATTGGTCTCCTGTCTCCAGATGTGTGCCTGGCCCACTGTAAATGGGCAATATACATGAACTGCCTGAAGTGAAGGAACACAACTAAACCAAAATGGGTTTGCTCTGTTATATGATATCTGGTTTTTATAATTCTGATCTAGACTGTATGTTACATTGAAAGTTTTAATTCAAGTACATTGACTTATAATAAGGCTCTAAACCTTCACACTGATGTCGCTAAGTGCCCTCTAGTCGTCCAGACACACAGTGACCCTGCATAGGGTTTTCGAGATTAGCTGGTGAGTTTGCACCGCTGACCTTGCAGTCCAGTGCTTATCCTTAAGGCCACCCCAGGACTCCATTATGTTTGTTTACAGCAACAAAAAAAGACATCAGATCTCGTTTTCATTTTATCCTTCATGTTGTTGTTGAAGCATTGTAGACTTGGTTCCGACTCATGACAACCCTACAGAGGGTTCGCACTGCTGAACTTCAATGAGTAGTTCAGTGCTTATCCAACTGAGCTACATCAGGACGGCTTAATCATTCCTACTGCTTGTTGTGTGCTGTTGAGTCAGTTCTGACTTACAGAGACTCTGTGTAGGGTTTCCAAGGAGCGGCTCGTGGGTTTGAACCACAGTCCTGAAGCTCAAACTGACCTTGCAGCCCAGTGCTTATCATTCATAGAGGTGTCCAAAGAGTCAAACAATTGGTAACTGGTAAGAAATAGAAAATTAAAGCGCATCCTCCTAACACACTGACTTGATGGCAGTGGGCTTGTTTTTTTGTTTTATTTTTATTCCTCAAAATAAGAACCGATTTGACTCTTAGAAAATCAAAATGAGGAACAAGCCTTATTAAGTCACTTCACGCCTCCACTCCAAAGGAGCAGCATTAGACTTTCTCACCAAAAACGCTCTGTCTTGTTACTTTTGTGATTTCATTTCTCATCCAAATTAGAGCTAATGGAACAAATCAGGCCCACTGCTTCTTTTATATGGTCTGTGAGTGAAGACGGATTTTCAACATTTTTTTAAATGACTGAAAGAAAAAAAAAATCCAAAAGAATATTTCCTGGCATAGGAATGACATAAAATTCATGTTCTGCTATCTATAAATACAGTTTTATTGAACACAATCACACTCATTTCCACACTTCATATCAGCACTGTGGCTACAATGATTGAGTTGAAAAGCTAGGAGAAAGCACGTGGCTCACATACTAAGTGGTCACTCACTGGCCCTTCACAGAACATACCTGCTAACCCATCTTAAATGATTCAGGTAAAACCACACAGGAGTAAATTTACTTCTGGCGTCTTGGTGTGGTGCTGGAGGGTAAGCAATGGATTGCTAACCACAGGGTTGGTGGTTGAAACTCACCAGCTGCTCCGGAGAAACACTGTACAGGGTCCTCACTATGAATCAGAACCAACTTGAGTGTAATTAACAACATTAAAGACTCTTATAATAATCTCATTGAAATTCCTGTGGCTAGACTGTGTTCTGGATAATTCTAATGATTTTTTCAAAGACTAGTACTGTTTATTTCTAGCAACAGCAAAAAGCATTATAATTCAACTTACCATATAAGATTTAAAACATATAAAAATGTTAAAATTCTTTGGTCCAGATCTTTCCTGATAAAGAGGTTGAGTGACTCTGAAACCCTGCCTTCCTAGACTAGATAAGCTCTGTAGGCTTTCTCTCTCCTCTCATCAATAGATGGAGGACACATTCACTAAGATCACTTTCCACGTGTGTGTTTGGCAGGAGACAATAAACAAATGTGGACGGATAAAGGCGATTGGAACAGAAAAAAAAAACCCATGCTTATTTTTAGTACCAACAAGAAAAAAGCCAAACCAAACACAAAGGGTGTCTTTCTCCTAATAAGCAGTCGAGAGTGAACCAAATACATGTTAGGTTCTGCCACGTGAAGTTCAGAAACGGACTCTCTTTCTGTGGAAGGGCGTCATAACGTGCTCAGCAAGTTAAACAGTGAGAGTCTAATTTGCCAGTCACCCCAACTCTAGGTCAGCTAATGCTAAATATGCTTAGTTCTTCCCATCTCCAGTACAGACTCCATCTTTGCTCTCCTATGAGAACAGCATGTGCCCATGCCAGGAGTTAAGAAGATCAGGTATTTTTATTCACTTTGTGACAAAAACAGATTTGCGAAAATGGATTTTGAAGGGCATCAAAAGGCTTTTTTCCCCCTTTAGGAAATATGGCACACTGTGCTGCTAATAAATAACATTCAACAAAGCATGCCATTGCAAACTCGGTCTTTTCTTGTCCTAACTGGCACTCAGACATTCAACAAGTATTTGTTAAACACCCACTAGGTACCAGGTATGCCAGCATGAAGACAATGAGAGTTCATGATGTGTACAGAGGCCAGCATAAAGGCCTAAGAGTTCTGACCCTGTTGCTAGTAATTCACTTCCTCCTTAAATCAGAGAGTATCTTTGAGATTAGTCTGTAAACTGTCTAGAACCTAAGAGAGTCAAATGAACAGTCAACTGAACGTAAAGTTCTTTCCTCCGTGCAGTGATAAAACTTGTCGTTATTCATTGAAATTGAAATGTCATTTCCAGGGAACGAAATTCTTTTTTAAAACAATCACCCAGTGTTTCCTTTGGCAGCACATTTATTAGAAAACAGAAATTACTCAAATCCATTTTGCTGTTAGACTCAAAACTTCCATTTTTAACAAAGTATTTTCCAGTTTTGATAATTAAAACAAAGTTATGCAAGGGTCATTAAGTTATAAAGCATAGTATGAGAACTGCTCTTTATTTTTTTAATTGTAAGCACTCTTGTCTCTATTTCCTAGGCATTATTAATGTCAGTTATTGAAGGGTTCTCATCTCTGGGGCAATTAATAACAGGAAACACAATAAATCTGGAGAAAACAGTACTGTCTGACGGCCGTTTTTTTTCTTTTTTATTGTGAATTGAGTGAAGGTTTACATCGCAGATCATCAGTTTTCCAGTCAACAAATCATAGACTTTGTTTCAGCTCAAGACCCGCAATCCCCTCCTACAATAAGAAGTGTCTTGCTTCCTCCCTGTCACTCCCCATGTACAAATAGCCTTTCTGATAACTATTTCATAACACTTGGGGCATGGCTTAATAAATTCATCTCTGGTAGAATTTACAAGTATTTTAAATAAGCAACACCATTACCTAAAATCTACTCTCTACTGGGGCAGAGGGGGCTGGAAAGGAATTCAGAATGAGTCTCAGGACACATTAAATAACACTTCTAAGTCTTTCTTTCCTTGTCCTTAAAAGTGAGTAAAAGAGCTATCTCATTAATATGAAAAATAAACAGGAGAAAGGTCAAGGTCCTCTGCATACAATTCTGGTACGTTTATGACTGGACTTCTAGCTCTCCAGAAAGTTCCTAACACGTCTATAGATGTTATATACGTTAATACACACACAGAGCACACATGTTAAACACGCACCTGTTGTTCCCTCTTGCTGGAATACCTTTCTTCTTGAACCAAATACCTCGTTCTTCAATATCTACCTCAAGTCTAACCTATTCTGTGATAATTCTCCTAAATAAAAATAGGCAAGGCACCAAGCCTTCCTGTACTGTCCTCAACACAAAACTGCAATTACCTAGTCCCACCTAGGCAGAGAGGTCATAGAGCATATGGTCTGTACCTATCTATCCCCAGTGCCAACGACAGTTAGGGAGAGTCTGCTGAATGAATGAAAACTCCAAAAGCACAAATGGAACCATTTACAAACAGAAGCGCACCAATCCTACTTGGATTAGCCAACAGAAAGTGAGAGTTCTGAAAGGGAAAGCAAACAGTTGGCCAACCAGGAAGGGTAGGGACATCAGGAAAAGACCCCTACTTAGTGTGTTTTTAACAACTCACTGATTGGCTACTATATTTCTCAATCTATTTTAATACTAATAAGAATCTGCCTAATTAGTGATATTGTAATTGAGACAATATATGAAAAGCCAGTTACCTATTTTTTCTTCCAGCTCTTTTACTGAAGAGGTTTGATCATTTGTTATAGAAGATGAATTCTCTAAGGAATCCTAGATTTTATAGGGAAAACAAACAAAACAGAACTCACGTCATTACCCAAAATGAAATGGACCTCATGTTAATCATGAGAAAAATCAGTATTAAAGAGAAATTATATATAAAAACAATGTTGATAAATAGTCTCTTTTCCCCCTGGTACACCAGGTACGCTTATGCATAAAGCATTTCCTGTAGGAAACAGTAGCATCCAAGGCTGGCATGAACAACTCGACACAATTTCAAATACGTAATACAATTAGGAAAATGTTAAGTGATTATTTTTACCACACTTTTACAAATTTTGGAGAAAAGTTAAAATCTCAATCCAAGAGAATTACCATTACAGCCCACATTTTTACTCATTAGTGTTCTACACATGAAAGTAGTATGTATAGCACATGATTGAAATTCAAGTTTCTTCATGTGAAGTTGTGCTTTTGTTAAATTTGGACACATTGTTTAAAGCTCTAAATAGTTAATCTTACAGCAAGTTAAAGATTTTAAAATAGTCTCTCCCCTCGCCCCACGTGATGAATATAATGAACAGGATACAGAAAATGAGAATGTTGGATGCTTTTCAGAAATTTGCCATTTGCCCTTAAATGCTAAAAATCACTTCATTATCAGTGTGAAAATCTTTCTAAAATATGAATTCACACATGAGATCCATACTGGTATGTACATGTTATGGAACGTAAAGTACCACAGAACTAGGCATTTCTTCAAAATACTAGAAATAGACGATTTAAAAAATAAAATTTAAACAGTACCTTCAGTAATGCCAATTGTGCTCTTAGATCTTGTAATTCCGATTCTTTTTGTTCTAGTAACGGTCTCAGGTTTTCATGTTCCTTTAGAGAGTCTTCTTTTTCATCATGAGTTACATTTTTGCTACATAAAAGTTTTTGAGATGCTTCCTCAATTTGTATGAAAAGATCTTGGTTTTCAAGCCTTGTTTTTTCATTGGCAGTCTTCATTTCTAGAAGATCAAGTTGTAGGGCCTCTTTGTCTGACAGGGTTTCTTGTAATTCTTTCCTCAGGAGTACTTTCTCTTGCTCATAGTCTTCCAGTAAAGCCTGAAGTGCCTCACGCTGAACTGTGTGCTCTTCTTCAGTGTGCTTAATCTCCTTTTCTAACTTCAATATCCTTTCATCGTACTGAGAAACTAGGGTGTGCTTCTCCTCATTCAGTTTTGCTAAGGATTCACCTAAAGCTTGGAGGACATTTACAGTATCTTGCTCTTCATTTTCTTCTGAGACTTTTGACCCCAACAGTTCAAGAAAACCATACATCTGAGTTCTGAGAGATAATTTCTGAAGTTGCTCATTTTCAAACAGTGCACTTACATTACCTAGCTCTTCTGCTGTTGACTGTAGTTTCTTTTCCAGCTCAGTCATCTGTTCTTTAAGATTAACATCCCCTTCTTTCTGAGCCAGAAGACTTTCCAAATTGTTGCTCAATTGGCTCTTTTCTGAATTTAGTCGATTATTTTCCTCATAAAGTGACTTGACTTCAGATGACAACACTTCCTGGTCTTGATGGAGACTTTTAATTTGACTCGAAAGTATTTCGAGTCTTTCGTCATTTTGGCCCTTTTCTTTTACAGCCTCTTCTAGTTCTTTTGTTAATTCATTTATCTTTTGTTTTAGTTCACTGTTGTTCTGGGCCATTTGCTCCACTTTCTCCCTAAGTTCTGCAATCAATCCTTCCTCCTGTTCCTGTTTCTCATGGAGATTGTCCATCCCTTCATGAGCAGTTTTCAACTCACTTCTGAAACCATCGTTTTCCTCAGTCAGACAAGTTATCTTCGCTTCTAAATCTTGTAGTCTGGTGTCTTTCTGACTGAGACTAATTAAGTGCTCTTCAATCTTTTCTTGGAGGCTCTTTATGGTGTTTTCAAGTTCTGGTACTAATTCTTGTTGAGACAATAACTGTTCCTTTTCTCCTTGGAGACGACTGACAGTTTCAAGAAGAGCATCTTTGTCATTAAAAGCAGCTCTGAGTTTCTGTTGCAGCTCATGAACATCAGAAGCTTGCTGCTGCTTCATTGATTCAAACTCTTGACTTATTTTCCCAGCAGACTCCCCAAGTTCTGTCTGTAAAATTTCCATAATCTCCCTCAAGCTCTCATAATTTAAGATTGCGTCTTGCTTTTCTTGCTGTAGATTTTCACATTGTTCCTTCAGACCCTGTATTTCAAACATTAATGTTAATTTCTCCTTTTCTGAACCGGACAGAAATGTCTCAGTTAGTTCTGCTATTTCTTGTTGATGCTGTCCATTAATACTCTGCATTTCTTTGTTATGTTGTTCCACAATACAACAAAATTGTTTGTTTGCATCGTCTAGCTGAGATTTTAATGTTTCAATTAGCAAGATCTGTTCTTCTTTAGCTAGTAACAATTCATTGATTTTAAATTCTAAGTCTTCACGTTCATGGAAAAACTCATCCTTTATGTGCTGGGCATCCATTTCAAGTTTGACTTTAAGGTTATTCATGTAAGTGACCTCATCTTTCAAAATACTATGTTGAGATTCCAGTTCCTTTAAGGCAGCTTCTAAGTGTTTGATTTTTTCATTCACCAGTGGTTCTACAATAGCATCGTCTTGCAAGAGCACAGAACACATCGGATTTTCTTGATTTGCATTTGAGGCTTTACTCAGGTCTTCTAATTCCCCTTGATAATTCTCCGGCATGTTCTTTTCACCCGGCTCATACTGTTGGGCTAAGTTCTCCGTTAGCTGATTTAACTTATTGACTCCTGCTTCATGTTCTTTAGCAGAGACGTCCATGTGATGCATCAAGTCTTTCACGTCTTCTTGGTATGTACCTTTCAACTGCAAAAGTTGTTCTTGCAAACTACTAACATCTCTTTGGTAACCCTGAGAATTAGCGTCAATAATGACTTTCTGGAGCTTATTAATTTCTTGATTCTTCTCCTCAGTGGCAGCCTCCAATTGCTTTTGCAGGCACACAATTTGCTCTTCGAAGGCTGCTCTGATTTTATGGATATCATCTTGTAGTTTTTTAACATTATTTTCTGACTCATTCTGAACTTTAACTTGTTCTGAAAGCTCTAACTGCTTTTTGATTGCTTCTTCAAGTTCCTTCTGCAAGCTATCTTTATCTTCACTGTGTTTAGAATGCACTGCTATTAATTCATTTTTCAGAATTTCAATTTCTTTCACGTAGTTTCTATGTGACTGCTCAAACTCACATTGCAGATCTTCTATCTTAGTTACAGAATCCTTTAAAAACAAACACATATACAAGGCCTGAGTAAGAGCAAAGAACATCTGCCATCAGAAAACAGGTGGCCCAGGCTACCTAGACAGGGAAGAAGTGAGCACAACTGAACACATAGAACACGGTAAGATTACAAGACTTCTACACAACTTTTCCTACACAGTACACTAAGCCCAGTCTTCAAACTCACAACTAACAGCTAGGAACCCACTCATGTTACTCAGTGAGCCTACTGAAGTCACAAGGCTTTAACAGCTCCTTCATTGTGAAAAGTAGATTTTGTTTTTTGCAGAAAAGTTATAGCCTGGACCAAATAGGTAAGACCATAATAAAAAATGGAAAAAGAATGATGAATATCCTGGAACTGACTAAATAATTAATGGTTTTTAAATATGTCCAATCAATTCCTTGAAATAAGTACTTTTTCATAAAATACGTTTTTTTTTTCTGTTCTCATTTTGATTAATGAATGGTATTACAGTTAGGTGATTTCAGTTATTTTTCTTTTAAAAATCTCAGTCTAAGAGTCTCCTCACGCATAAATTGGTAAAACTAGAATAGATGCTTTTTTAAAGTCTTTAGTTCTAAAATTCATGATTATACTATTCTATGTCAGTAAAAATAAATAAATGTATAAAATGGCTTCTTACCTTAGCCTCTTCCTTGATTTTAGTATTTTCTTTCTTCAGAGCAAGACAGTGTTGCTCAGTCTCTGCCTTTTCCAGAAGAACACCATCCAGACGTTCAGTCAATGCCTGTTTGGAAACAGGATGATTAATCTATCTGAGGCTCAAACTGCTGGTATTACCTTCTTACCTCTCCCCACACCACTCCAAATTATGATAAAAAGGGTTAAAGAGCTAGAGCCACGAAGAAAGAGAAAAGAAGGGACATCAGAATGGAAGAGATTCCAACAGTTTGGGAACGCTGCAAGTGGATAGAGGGAAGGCACTGGATTTAGGGAGGGAACCCAGAGCTGAAGGGAGTGCGCAGAACAATCCTGAGGAGACGCAATGGGGGGTGGGGGTGGGGCTGTCGTGAGCAGGGCTCAAAGAGTGGGGGACTGGCTGACAAGCTAGGGAGTGGCAAGAGTAACAGACACTCTCAACAGAAGACGGAAGTCATAAAAACAAACTGTTAATTTATGTGTGGGGACACAGCCACATATAAATCAGGTATTATAAGATAAGGAGAGTATTATGAACAACTATTTGCCCCTAATATTGAAACCACATGAAAAGGATAAAAAGTCCTAGCAAATATAGTTCTAGGAACCCAAGAAACACAAATTAAAGGCATAATAAACACTATAACTATTTAAGAAATCAAAACAATGGATAAAAATGATCCAATAAACCAGACAGCCTAGATGGTACTACAGGTGACTTCAATCAGATTTTCAATGAACAGAGCAACCAATTTCATACAAATTTATCTAGACAAAATAAAAACTAAAGAAATTCCAAAGCTATTGTAAAAAACTGGCAAAACACAATGCCAAAACCCAAAGATTTTACAAGAAAAGATATTACAAACTAAATTCCTAAGTCTAGATGCAAAACCCTAAACAAAACATTCCCTTGTTTACCACTTCTAATCAACATCCTATTGGAGATGCCAGTGAATAAAATAAAACATAAAAAAGGCAAATAGGCCTAAGAATTAGAATAAAAAAACGCAACAGTTTAGGTGTTATGACTGTTTACATACAAAGAAACCCGAACAATCCACACAGGACTAGAAACAAAGATGGGTTTAGTTGCTGGATGTAAGATTAACCTAGTCAGTTTCATTTCTTAATACCAGTAACAGACAATTGTTGTAAAGCGCCATCAAGTCGGTTCCGACTCACAGTGACCCTGTATAGGGTTTCTGAGGAGCAGCTGGTGAGCTTGAACCACTGATCTTGCAGTTCAAACCGACTTTGCAGTCTAATGCACTAACCCGCAGTGTGGTACCAGGACTCAATTCCAACACAGCTTTCATGAAATCTGACATGATTTTAGAATGTGTATGGGAAAACAATGACCAGGAGAAGACTGACCCGACCAAATATCAAGATTTACTGTCAAGCTACAGAGAAATCACACAAATAACATAGTGACAAAGGGCTGGGGGGTGGGGGAGGCGGAGGAAGATAAAATCCAGTAAAATAGAAAAAAGAATCCAGAAACGGACTAAGGCATGTTTCAAACTCGGTACTGAATCAATTTACAAAGATTATTCAGTAAATAGGGCTAGAAAACAAAAGCCATATTGAAAAAGATGAAGCTGGGCTTTACTTTCACACCAGATTAACCGAAGTCAGCCCAAGATAAAGTGAGACTTTAAATGTCAAATACATAACTTAGAACTTTAGATGACAATAGAAAGATATTCCTCAAATAAATATATAAAACACTGACTATGTTTCTTTTATCCGACTATATTAAAATCAAGAACGTTGTGCATCGTAAGACAAAAAGTAAAGACAAATGAAACCGGAAGATACCATCCAAACCACATAACCAGAAGTCAATGAAAATTATGAGGGGCTTACCATCCAAACAACATAACCAGCAGTCAATGAAAAACATGAAGGGCTTCAGGGAATTCAAGGAGAATGGGAGAAGATAATGAACTTTTTCCATGAGTGTTTTGAAGCCCTCCATGTATAAGGAATGCTACAACAACAACAACAACAACAACAACTGTTGTTAAGTGCTGGTAAGTCTGTCCCGGCTCACAGCCACCCTACATAGGGTTTCCAAGGTGAGTTTGAACCAAGCAGTCTAGTGATTATGTCACAGTGCCACACCAGGAATCCTGTATGTATATACATACATACATACATACATACATATATGTGTGTGCGCATGTATATATATATATGTGTGTGTATATACATATATGTATATATATGTGTGTATGTATATATGTGTGTGTGTATATATGTGTGTATATACATGTGTGTGTATATGTGCATGTGAATATGCGTGTGTGTGTATATATATATAAATAAATAAAATGGTTACGAATCAGGCTGCTAACATCAGGGTCAGCAGTTCAAAACTACCAGTTGTTCCGCAAGAGAAAGATGAGGCTTCCTGCTCCTGTAAAGATTTACAGCCTCGGAAACCCTGTACAGGGTCGCTATGTGTCAGAACTGACTCTATGGCACGTAACAACAACATATATAAACTTTTCCTTACATATAAGGAGCTCTGGTAGCATTGTGGTTATGAGTTGGGCTGCTAACCTCAAGGTTAGAAGTTCGATACTATCAGCCGTACCACGAGAGCAAGATGAGGCTTTCTGCTCCCAAAAACATTTGCTTCAGATACCCTATGCACCTGCACTCTGGTTGTAGAATTTATTTTAGGAAACTTTTAGAAAAGACAAATACATAATTTTTCAGCATTACCTCCATGCTATTCAATACACTTTGCCCCTCTATCAACAAGCTTTTGTATTTAAAAATGTTTTAGACTGCATTGCGAGCCACGAATGCACCACTTTCTTCACTTCTTAATCAGAGGTGAATCTTTGTACTTGAAGAGCTGCTTTCAGGGGACCAAACAGACGAGAAGATCAAGACTACAGCTTTAACACCTCAAAACACAGTTTTTGCAGAGTGTCAACAGTGTGGGCAGCGGTGTGTGGATGTGCACTGTCATGCAAGATCTCAATGCCCTTGGAGAGCAGGCCTCTGTGTTTAATCCGAAGTTTAGGTTTCAGCTCTTCAGTGAGAATCTCACTCTAAGGAGCTCTGTTGATCGCTGAACCTTGTTTCTGATAATGTTCCAATACTGGCGCCTGAGAATCCCAGTAAACTGTAAGCAGCAGGTGACAGCTGACTTTTTAAAAAAAGTTTTTATTGTGAGTTGAGTGATAGTTTACATGGAGAACATCCTTTTACACCATCATTTCATTGCAATGAATACAATCGCCTCAGTGTGATGATGACTTGTGAACTTTTTCTTGGTCAATGGGCCATTGAGGATGTTCCCACTACACACCCTGTTGTTTACTCTCAGGCTCATAGTGTAGTGAAGAATCCGCGTCTCGTCACCAGTCAGGATTTTTTTAAAGAAACTTTAGCCTTCCTTCTAGTATCAGTTCCAATTTTGTTTGCAGAAGTCCAAATGCTTCAATTCTCCCAGCTGTTTTAGTACCCATCTCGCACAAACTTTTCAAACCCAAGTCTGTTGTGGATTACGGCAGAGGCTGATTTACATATGCTCTGCCACCTAATCCGCTGTCACTCTGTTCCACAGAATCATTTCACGGGCATGCACAGTGTTGCCATCAGCTGTGGATGTGGGCGGGCATTTTAATATGACGGGGTGCAGATAAGCTTTTAATCCCCCTCGGATATATAATTCTACAAATCGCTAAGAGTACCCATGGTTTATTAAGAAAATGGGTGCTGGACAAAAAAAGGAACTTCAAAGATGCCAAATGACACATCACCAATACAAAGGAATATCCGGTATAATCAGTGGGGGATGAGCTGCCCATGATTTTCCAAGGATACTCTTCCAGTTTAACTTGAGTTTAAAACTTGGCATGTATTCTGCCGACACTTCCTCAGCTGTGACTGAACTGATCAGAACTTGTTCAAAGCCCCCCAAAATTCTTAAAAGACAAAGTTAGGAATCTACCTCGTTTGTAATGCAGGGTGTGCTTGTACTGACTGTAAAATGGCCTAAACCTTATGACAAGGAAAAGCAGGGGAGCGACTTGCACTGCGTTATCTTCCGACAACAGAACTAAAAGGATGAAGGAGTTTCAGAAACCCAGGGTCAGGGGGAAGGTCAGGGCGGGGAGAGTGCAAAAGTACAGAGCACCGAGCTCGAGGTGACATGTCTGTAGGTCGTTCATCCTTCACATCCTGCCCTCAGTGGAAGGGGGGACGGGGAAATCCAGCAGGGGTGTGAGGTGCGCCTGGGCACATGGCGTCTGAATCTGGGCTGGAATGCAGAGATGTGAAACAGAAGGGCTGAGACCTGGACTGTCATTCCCTAGAAGAGACTCCGAAACACAGATTGTGCACCAAGTCTGGGTGGGGAGGGCAGTTCACATCTCTGCCACCCTAGGACTTTCCAGAGAAGCCTTTGTAATTTTGCTATCTTTAGGTCTGAAAAAAAAAAATCCCACTAGGTTTATAGCCAGGAGGCAGATTTCTAATCCAAGGAAGACCAGGAGAGCAGACTAGACAGTGGGCGGGACTATGAAGGACAATGGGAGACGTGGATCGCTTTCAGGCTTAGGTTCACAGGTGCGTAATTAAAACAATTACACAAATAAAAACAGCACTTGCATTGACTAATGATTAGTTAGTGACCACAAACTAAGGACTATGATTAATCCAATTCCGCCCACTTGTGGTCCAATGGAAGAAAACCAAAATGGAACTTAACAGGAAAGGATACAGCAAACACAGGTGGCCAGGGACTCGATCCAGGGCTGACAGTAAGTGATGACATGGAAGTTTAGCATACTAAGTGATGGACTGCTCTCTACCTCCAATCCAGGCTCGGGGCCCAGCACGTACACTCCTGATTGCTAGGTGGACCCTCCATACACAGGAGTTTGGGGGTTTCTATTGAGAAACTACATCACTAAGGAAAAGATAGAGCCCCGATACAGGGCTGCTTTCACGGGCTATCCTATAGAAAGCCTCAGTCATGCACACAGAGCTTCCGGGTAATCTTCCAGAGACTCACCCTGAAGTCTCTGAACAGAGTCCTGGGGTGGAGCTGTGGGTTATGCACTGGACTGCAAGGTCGGTTTGAATCACAAGGTTGGAGGTTCAAGCTTACTGTATACAGGGTTGCTATGAGTCGGAGCCAACGCGATGGCACTTAACAACAACTCTGATGCAAAAGATGACCACTAGACACTTGGGAGGAAATCTCTTAACACCAAACAGCTTTGGTAACAAAGAGAAAAAGAATATTTGAAAAAGAAACAAAACAAAGATAAAAACCAGACAGAAGTAAACTTCAAGACAGCTTATGATTATTTCATTAGAAAATAAAACATGTTCAATCTCAAAATAAGACATTATGAAAAAAGACTATTCAGCTATCAAAGCTGAGCTCTTTGAAATGGAACATTTAACAAAACAGAAATCAATAGAATGGTTGAAAAATACAAAGTTGATGCGATTTCTGCATTCTAGAGGAGTGCTCCCCAAGTTCTGTGACGTGCCTGCAGACCGCCTCCCGTACCCTCTGTAGTCACCCCCCCTTCCCTTGCCTGCTTCGTTTTTAGACTATGAAAGCTAAAACTGAAGACCCCTGACTGCCCAGGCCCAGCCCTGGGCAGCAGCGCTCCCTCGATAGTCTGCTCTTCCCCTGACTGACCTCTCCTCCTTTCTGAACGGCTAGAGGTGGACCAACCATCTTGTGACCCTGAACATTAAAAGGCTGGTGGAATGGGAAGGAGAGAACAGCAAACGCCCCTGCGTGTTATCTCCTTACAGATACCTCCTTCTCTCATGACGACAACTAAGTTGCTGAGCACTTGTATGACAGATCCAGTTCTAAGCGCTGTACATATATGAACTCATCTAATCCACAAACTAACCCTACAAGAGGTATTATCGTCCTCTCCACTTTACAGATAAAGGAACTGAGTCAGAGAAAAGTCATTAGACACTTAGTCAAGGTCACAGTGTAAGAGCAAACCACCACACAGCCTGCTGGGGCACAACTCAGTGTTTCATGTACCAAGAGTGAATCTAGGAAAATTAGAAGCCGTCAAAGTGAAATGGAATAAACCATGATAGATATCTTAGACCTCAGTGAGCTCAAATGGACTGGAAGTGGCCATTCTGACGAGACACTCATATGGTTTATTACGCTGATCATTCATCATCACAAACAGCAAGTCAAGATCGATCTTGAAGGACAAAGCGGTCTGTGATAGGATAATATCCATATGCCTATAAGGAACATACATTTATTCAGATTTATATACTAATCGCTAAAGCCAGTGATAAGGAAATGAAAGAATTCTACCAACTTCCTTGGAGTCCTGGTGTAGCACTGTGAGTTAAGGCGCTGGACTACAAAGGCAGCTTGAACCACAAGGTTGGTGGTTCAAGCTCACCAGCCGCTCCCTGGAAACCCTATACAGGGTCACTATGTGTCGGAACCTACTTGGTGGCACTTAACAGCAACAACCAATTTCTTTAGTTTGATATTGATCAAACATGCAATCAAGATGCACTGATAATTACTGGTGATGAGAATGGGACATTGGGAATAAGGAGGAAGGATCAGTAATTGGACAATATGGCCAGAAGACAAAAATGATGCTGATGATTACATGACAGAATTTTGCAAGACCAAAGACTTACTCATTGCAACTATCTTTTTTTCAGTGATCACAATGAACACATGGGTGGAAGAGACAGTGAGGAAGCTCAGTATCATCAGCTAAAACCAGGGCAACAGCCGACTGTGACACAACCCATCAATGCAAGTACAGCTTCAAACTGAAACAAGTCCACGAGAGGCAAAATAGGACCCTGAATATATTTTGAAGTTAGAGACCATCTCAAGAACACATGTGACGAATTAGACACCAATGACCTAAGACCTGAAGAGTTGTGAAATGACATCAGGAATATCGCACATGAAGAAAGCAGAGGGTCATTAAAAAAACAGGAAAGAAAGAAATGACAAAAATGGATGTTAGAAGAGACTGAAACTTGCTCTTGAGCTGTAGGGAAGCTAAAGCAAATGGAAGAAATGACGAAATCAAAGAGCTGAACAGAAAATTTCGAGGGGCAGCTCAAGAGGACAAAATAAAGCATTCTAATGAAATGTGCAAGACCTGGGGTTAGAAAACCAGGAGGGAAGAACATGCTCAACATTTCTCAAGCTGAAAGAACTGAAGAAAAAATTCCAATCTTCACTTGCACTACTGAAGGATTCTATGCACAAAATACTAAATGACACAGGAAGCACCAAAATAAGAGACACTGCGGAGACTCAGCGCCCAACCGAGGAACCCAGAGACA